GCATTCAACTCGAATGGGATCTGACAGGGATCGCCGCACTCGTACTTCCAAGCACCGGTGAAAAAGAGAGCTTTTGATCCATCCTAGGAGAGGACTACCAGTATCAAAGGTTTTGCCTTTGGAGAGCAAGTTGTTATGGTCTAACCGGTTGAACGCCTTTGAAAAGTCGAGGATAACTACATCAACTCCTGTGCCAAAGTCAACTGCTTCTGTCTAGCTGGATCGTGCTAGTAGTAGATTTGCAGTACACGAGCGATTTCCTCGGAAGCCATGCTGTTCCGATGCAAAGTAGTTAAATTCTTCTAAGTGTGCAGTTAGCGCATCAGAAATAATAGCTTCCATGTCCTTTGCAAGAACCGGTATTAAAATTATTGGACAGTAATTGGCTGGATTGAAACAACTACCTCTATTGTGAATACGAGTAATCATCCCGTGTTTCCACATGTTGGGCACGTACATTTCTTCAAGAAAGTTTGGTAGAATCGAGACAAAGGTAGATAAACTCCACCCCAACGATCGCTAACAATTTCGTGTGTATAGTATCTACTCCAGGAGAGCTGTGCTTGCGCGTACTCAACTATTTGTTAATACAGCTTCCACCGTGAAGGCTATGTAAGTGAGTTTTGGGGGTGAGACAACTATTCTCATAAGGTTATGTGACCAGTGATTGCACTGAAATGTTGCAGCATATTGTAGGCGCAGGGTATTCGCCTCCTCATTCGGTGTCCATGTAGGTCGATCCGCTGTTTGAAGGGGAGGAATTCTCCGTTTCACCTTACATAAATTGTTGACGTGTTGATACAGAAGCTTGTGATTCGAGGTCATAGACACTGCTAACCTCAGCTGGTACACCATTCTATCCACGCGAACAATCTGTGTACGTTGGTTACGTTGGGTCGCATGAGCCATCCAGGTCTCGTGGCTTGGATAGTTTTTAGAGACGTCAAATCAAGTTTCGCACCGCTATGCACTTACGTGTCCTGCTTCGCAGAAACGAGTGCACATTTCTCTGGTGGAAGGAGTTAGTCGCTGATGCTTCGGCAACCATAGAGTTAAACTGGCTGGCGAAATGTTCCCATGCACTAGCTGGGGCCTTGTCTGCCAAAAAGGTCCAGTTGGCTGTCTCACCTAGTAGAGCTAATATGTCGTAGCGTATTATCGTTTTGTTGCGTGGGCAATTTCCACGGGATATTCTGCATAGCAAATGTATTCAAAGAGTAGGACAATATGATCGCCGCGGCCCAAGCGTACATGAACGATCACCCTGTCGACCATTAGTTCTTCCTTGTTGAATATCTGATCCAGTATTGATGGCTTAGCTTTTTCACCGAATCCGGTTAGAGTGTTAATGTGGCCATACAGCGGGTAACTGAAAACCAATTCTTGTAGATCCGCCTTAACTTGTTCTGCGGGAGCTGCTTGGGCTTCCAGAGCTTGGATGTTCAAATCGCCAGTAATGAGAATGTGACTGTAAGTTGTGTTTATCACCCTCCTTATTGCGGATGCCAGCTAGGAGTATACCTCGGGCTGAAGGAAGGAGGGCAGCAAAGGACTGGGCCCAAGTAATTGTCGTTGCCTTTTAAACCTAGACGGCACTAAAGGGAATCCTGTACCTTGCTGCGCGGATCCTCTATGTGCTCACATTGAAGGTCGCTGCGGCAGATGCCTCTGCGATGTAATTGCATGCGGCACCAAAGAGAATCGGCAGACTATGAGTCTGAATCGTCAGAGGCCTCGCACTATAGGTCGCTTCAGTAATAAAGAAGTACATTTCCTCCTTTCATAAGCCTGTCGTTTCGTATGCGCTACATGCCGGACAGCGAGACTTCAACATTTGTCATTCCACTGTGCAACTATGTCTCCGTGATACCGAGAATATCGCATGGTTTCGAAATATGATGATCTTTCAGTTCGGTCGGCTAATTAGAAAGGTCTTGATCACTGGTAAAATGCGAGAGAGTTTCTTTGTCTCCAGGAGCCCACAGGAAGCCAAAGGGATCAAGTGTGGTAGAATACCGACTGATATGACGTCGGCCGTTATTAGTTGTTTTTGCTGTGGTGATGATGACACATTGTCCACAAACTGATTTGGCCAAGGTACGTCTCCTTATTTGTCTGGACACACTGCAGAATCACGTGACCGAGCGGCAAAGTGATACTTTTGCCTAATCGCTGGTAGGTCTACTTTTTCAGGTAGTCTCATGTCTGGTCTTCGCAAGGCTTCTGTGGGTTTTAACCGAAGTGCAGATGGAAGGCTTTTCTGATGTCGCTGCCAACGTTCTAACACTTCCGTCACTGTCTGCTCTGACTGAACCAGGAGTTTTAGGATTCTTGATCGGCTTCCTCTATAATTTGGTGAGAGAGGTAGCCATTTTAGCGATCATGCCGCAACGTTGTCTAAGGAAAGTGTTTCACGAATAAGCCGCCACTGTGCAAAATCGTGATTACATATCTTTTGACTATCGTGGGAAGGAAGTTCTGGCACGCCATAAACAAAGTTTGTGCTTATACAATCCAGCTTGCTTTGGCCTTCCGAGATGTTTCGGTTGGATTGACGCGTGCTCCAAGGAATCTCACGTTCGATGTGTACCTTACAAGACCCGCGTTTTAGCGTACTTGCAGAGAGTAAAACCTTTTCTACATCAACGGCGGGTCCCAGTGTTACTCTAATAATTCTGGCTTCGCCATTTTGTGCAGAGTTTGGGTGACGAGCAACGCACTAGCTTTGTGGGTTCGGCTTTTACGTTCATTAGAATGCACAGTAATTTCCACTGTTCTTATTCGTCAGACAACTTACCCCGCAATGCGATGGCGGTAGAATGGGCGACATTTGTGCACACGAGAGTCAGGGTGTTATTGATGCACCCCTTTTTTGTTAAACAGCAAGGTCGGGTGATCGTTGGGCCTGGCTTTATGCCAAGTGATGATGGTCTACTGTTTATTGTTTTATGCACGTTACCGGTGTTTGCAACAGAGGAGACACTAAATGTAGCATCCTGAGGGACTTTTTCAACGATCTCTGCATATGTGACTGAAGTCTCGGGGGATTTGAACACGACCGGATACCCTGGGTTTGCAGACGCAGTAGACTCGGGTTCGGCTGTCCCATCCTTGTTACTGATACAAGTTGTCCAGACCGGCTGAATTAGATTGATCATTTGAACAGCCCAAACATTGCCGAAATTGGTAGTGGAGTTAAGTGTTGAGATCAAGGCAGAAAGCTCTCCACTCAAACAACTACCTCCCTTGCGGACGAGTGTTAATCCTCGCTCTGCATGAGGTAAAGCTTGTACGAAAGCGCGAAGTTGCTGAAAGAGGGTATGCTTCTCGGTCAACGGCCTGCTCAACTGCCACTGAAGCATCAAAGTGGTCAGCACTTTTAGTCTACTAGGGATACTGGTGTTGAAACATAAATTATTCTATGCATGAATGACACCTTAATACGACGAAGCGTATTAGAGACATTCATATTGTGCGTTGTCTTCGGCTCAACCAGACATCATCTGGACGCGCACGCACAACGCACGAACACACCAATTTGCGTGTGTGACCTTGAATTGGGAAGTGAGTGGGGAGACTGCTATTTCTGGATCCAAGGTAGATGAATGGTGGGATACACACTTTTGAACACACATCCCTTGCTTGGTGTGGCCTACTGTGACCCGTTAGGCAAATGTAAAGAGGCGGCGATAAATCTAGCGCAAACTGCTAGTTGGATTCTTTCCGGTGATATTTAGCCAGTACAAATTTCCCGGAAGAGGAAGCTGGGACATCTAAGACTCATAGCAGTGTCGCGCTAAGCCGTTTTGTCATGTGTGAATGTCTGTGTTCGTTCGGTTTGTGCAATGTGGTGGAGCAGTGCTAACACACACGAGGAAGCGCATGGTTACTCGGCACCGATTAGTAACGTCAATAAATTTCGGTCGCCGATGACGCTCACAACCGCTGAGCGACAGATAGTAAACATTTCACTATTCTTAACATAGTGAAGCCAGTTCCCATAGGCAACTTGATCCGAGTTTTATCAGCTGTCACAGATAATTGACTTATGGCCAGCTTCCCGTTAGTTATTTTTTCGTTGAATCTCCTAGGCTTGCAGCTTACCTACATTATGGTTATAAGCCAAATGACAAGGTTGAATGCAGCTTCGTTGAGCCTAGCTGACAAGACTCCGTATGTGCCCTGCTGACATGTGTTAGGTTTCCAGCACTTGTCTTAGGGTGCAGCTTCATGCAGACATTGCTGATAATTGGTCGATATATTCTGGGACTCATGGGTATGTCCAAGTACTGCTAACGTGTTACGCGTCTTTCGCAGTTAATTCGAAGGTTGTCACTTTCACCGTCCAGATAATACAATAAATAGATGACCTTTCCAAACTCGGGAGTCAATGAACCTGGATATCAGCCACAGAATGCTCACGGCTGTGCGGATAATCCTATAAAAAAGAATAAAACAATGCCGGACTATGATGACAGCGCTTTATCAGCCCCGCGACCTTACGCTAAGGGTTTGTCCCATCGGTATCAACTGATGCTATCTGTACGCTACACAGAACTCATCTCAACCTATAGATGTCGAATTCAACCAATCAACAGAACTAACTTCGCTACATTTGTCATCCACTGCTTTAGTGCTGAATGTTACTCTCAGTTGGTGATATGCCAACCGTCGTACCTCTGAGCTACACCTTTTGAAGTAAATAACTGTTAGGCAACAGCTAATTGCTACACTGCGTCTCACTGGGCGTCTCATTACATTGGTTATGCCTCGTAGATACTTGTGTACGAGGGAACGCTTTATAGATGATTTCTGCATCTTGAGGACGCGGTACCTCGCTAATTTGGCCAGACTGACAGACAGAGGTCTGCAATGTCATGAGGAGATCTGTTCTACTCGGAACGGCAAAACATATAGAACCCGGAATGCCTAGTAATGTCTCAGAAACGGTCTTAAACGTCAGTGAGTTACGAGGGAATAATGACAGAGTTTGGACATACTGAGTAGTAAAAGCGTAATGAAGACGAGATGTAGTAAAAGTTCTCGCAGAGCAGTTTTCATGAACATCCGCTGATCCGAGACGTCCGTCGTCTGTCGAGTGGCCCACACAACTGTGCAAGTGGAGGAGAAACAAAACAAATGTTACCATGTGTAAGAACTACTCTAAACAATGTCATCGATGAGGGGTACAAATTTTTTTAGACTGGTAAATTCTGATGATGAAAGTAATCGATAAAACCGGTTACATGCCAAATCAATGTCCCGAGGTGTTGGCAAGACTGTTTTCTTGGTTATCTTGGTTATCTCGTTGCATACGCTTCGTCACCAAGCGAGGTGACGTCCTCAGTGCCGGAAGGTGTGGTGTCATGTTTCTGATGAGAGCACTGGATAAAAAGTGTCCATTAAGGAACTCAACCATAATGCTATTTTCCTTTTAGGGTTAACAAAGTACCGACTTCATATCAATAAACCTACATCAATACAAAACTCGCTCCAGTCAAGATAAGGCATTTAATTTATGGAATCACAGATATGCGGTCAAGTTGACAAACCACAAAGGACATAATCAGACACACAGCCTTATAACGAACAGTGCAGAAGCCAACGTTTTATTGACTTAAGCTATGGTGTATGAAGGTCAAGACAAAAGTAAGTTGACACAATATTTCAAGGGAGAACTGTAAACCGTTTGTCAGTAACGTCTACAAAAATGTGGCAGCACTTATCAAGAACCGCAATTTTACAGCATTGAGGACTCCGCACTGATTAGTGAGCTGTCATCCCGCCAACCGCGGACACCGAGCACCGGGAGACCCATAAATATCTTCGCTATATCTACCTGTTGTGCTCTCAGCTTAACAGTCACACAAACCGTAACTCACAACGTGCATCCCTAGTACATTATCAGATAATCACCAGGGCTTATCTGTTGTTCAGCCATTCCAAGAATCTCAGAAAGTGGTTAACGTTCTTCATTACTTACAGTGTAGCCGGTGAGACACTGGTGATCTCTCCTGACTGTCATTCATTTGCCTCCTCTTCGCTTCCTTTTCTGGTTCACAGTTAACCGAGTGAACAGACTTCGTTGACAGTTGATCGTCATCCCTTCGACTGTTGGCAAATTCGCTGCTGAGTTTAAGCTCCAACCACTCAGACATAATGAATCCAGGGTGACCGCTAGGTTTAACGTGCAGCGTCAAACGCGGTAGGCGAGAACTTGGTGGGCTGAATTCGAGTTGTTTCGTTCACGTCTGAAAAATTGCGGGAATGGTCAAACGACATGCCAGATACGATGAACCGATGAAAAAAATTACGTCTAATGGAAAAGTCCCATAAATAAAACAAAGAGAATTAACGAAGTAAAGGAACGGTAATCCCGCAAATTCGCATAAACGAGATTTGTGTCGATCAGTACACAGTAAAACGCGATATCTCTCCCTCGAATGGCTTTTGATTGAAACCAGTCTTAAGGAAAAAAGTGTCCAAGGTAATAGGGTTCGCAAAATGGTCTCGCACAAAACCAAACATTCGTTGATTGCATAAGCGTTGTTGTTGTTGTTGTTCACTGTGAAGAGAAGGCACTAACGAGTTGGCTGTCTGTTTCGAGTCTCCATGCAGGCGGTCCATAACTGACGTAATAGGCCGTTGCATAAGGTGCTTAAAGTTCGAGTTCAACCGTGTCTGAAAAAATGACTGGCGCGGGCCGCGTAATAAGTATGCACAATAATTACAACCCATAACGAAAACCTTGGGAATAAAGACGAAGACAACGTGAAACTCAGGGGATCTGAACAAAAAGACAATAAATTTCAAGCGTCATAAATCTTTTACTGAAACTCCGGAATAACAGGTTGTGGGGTCAGGGTTGGATCTATCGATCACGTAAGGTTAATAAGTACCTTTGAAAGCAAAAAATATCACACAAGAAAGTTTGTAGCGTACATATATATATATATATGTATATATATATATATGTGTATATATATATATATATATATATATATATATATATGGTTGGCGCCATCCGGTTTCGGATTTGCTTGTCACTGTGGCAAGCCACAGGACGCCTGTGCCTACAGAGGGACCATGGGTGGCTTGCGCTGCACCACCCACAGTTCCATCCACACACCCCATATCCAGTGTAAACCCGAAGGAATAAGACCGGGAGGCATGTGGATGGGGGCCACGTTTCATCAACGGAGCCGGCCCACACTCCTTCACAGCAAACACAAGCACGCTGTACTTGGGAAGCAAGCGCACACAAGGCGGTGGCTGGACCGTAGTCCGCTCCACACTGATTGCATGGAACCACTCTTTGATCCTAACACGGCCACAAGGACCGTGCACCCTGTCCCCTACAGCAACGACAAATTGTCTCCTGGAGTAAGTATGGAAGAGGTGGGGGGTAATAGACAGGTAGGCACCTTGTCAACATGCACATCAAGCGCAGCCACACCGGGGATATCAAAAAACATCCAGTCACTTGACAGAGAGAGAGAGAGACAAAGAAAACAACTGGATTAATGCATAAGCAAACGGTGGCATAAACCTTAACTATTGAGCATATGAAATAAGTTGTTTACAAAAGAATCCGAGATAAGTTCATGAGGTCAGAAAGTGTATTCTACGGAAATGCCACAAACACAAAATGTTATCGAAATTAACTACAATTGGCTTAATCGAAGCGTGCAAGTTTATAGAAGAGAGTATAAGTAGACATTTATATGAGGAAGAAAAGTACTGGGACAAAAATGAAAACCCACCACCTGAAATAAATAGAATTAGCATGCAAGCAGGCGGTTAGTAAATCGAATGCAGCGTACCTACAAACGCTGCGCTGGGTCTGCCTACGTTCTCTGCAGGACCCATCATCGCTTCGGTAGTGGTCCCGAGTGGCCTTGCTAATGGCTCACTAGACTTGCCTGACTCAGGCACTCGCGACCACATGTGCTACAGCACCATGCGCTCGATGTCGATGGAGTACAACCCATCGGTGTTTGCCACGTCCGCACTTGCCGCTTCTTCTCTGCATGCATGAGGACTTTCTCCCGCACTTCGACAACTGCCTTCGTTATCAGATCGCGCCATGCACGCCGATCAACCGCTTTCGATTTCCATGACCTGCAATCAAGATGAGAACGTGAGAGACTCACCTTGATCATGTCCTAGTAACGTAACTTTGGTTTCCCCACGTGCCGCTTCCCAATACTCAGCTGACCGTATAAGAGTTGTTTCGGTATCCGAGTCGAATCCATACGCCACACATGACCGATCCACCTCAGCTGTCTCAGCAAAAGTATGCAGTCCACTGCATACATCCCACTTCGGCGCAACACTTCCGTGCTGCAACTCTGGCGCCCCAACCGATGCGCAAAATTCATCGCAGACACTGCTGATGGAACCGCTCGAGATATCGCACATCCCGCCGGTACATCGTCCACGTTTCACTGCCGTATAGAAGAACGGACAGTACCATGGATTTGTACACCATCAGCTTCTTGCCAATGCTAAGATGATGGTTGTTCCACACTCGGTACTCAAGCTTCCCGAATGCCGCTGCCGCCTTCGACACGCGAATACGCAACTCAACGTGTAGCTGCTGATCAGTCGACATCACACTCCTAAGGTAGCAGAAGCGGGAGGTGGTTTCCAATACTTCAGCACCAATGCTGATTCGCGGCAATATTGAAGATTGCACCTCCGGTGAAGGCTGAAAGAGACAGACAGTTTTGCTTGTGTTGATGGTGAGCCCGAATTTGGCCGCTGTCGAAGCCAGAGCACTAGTCATGTGCTGCAACTCATTCGCGCTTTGTGAAAACAACGCACAGTCGTCAGCAAACAGCAACATACGGATAGTTGTCTCACAGACTAGAGTTCTCGTACCGAAACGACGGATGTTCAGCAACCCACAATCAATACGGTGCGCCACACGAACACCGTAAGCACAGGCGGCATCAAAAGCACAAGACAACATTGTATGAAGATATATATTCAACAGGGCAGGAGCTAAGACACAGCTTTGCTTCATACCAGAGACAACTGCAAAGTCATCCGAGGTCTCTCCACTCAGCTGCACCCTCGCTCGCATACCACTGTGCAGACATTCAATCAAACTTACAAAGTTACGTGGGCAACCAAACTTACCCAACACCAGCCACAATTCCTCGCGGTTCACCGCATCAAATGCCTTGGTGAAATCAACAAAAAGCGAGTACAATGGCTGCTGTCGTTCTCTGCACTTTTCTTGCAACTAACGAGCAGCAAACACCATATCTATAGTGCTGCGACCCGAACGGAATCCGCATTGCTCTTCCGCCACGTTTGGTTCCACAACCCGACTGACGAGGCGGTTGAGCAGGATTCGGGCAATCACCTTTCCCACACAACGCAGCAAGTTGATGCCACGATAATTCGTGCAACATTGCTTGCTACCTTTGCCCTTGTACAGTGGTAGCACTAGCGCATCCTTCATCTCAAGAGGCAGCTTATCCTCAATCCATACACGTTGCACCAAGTGGTGCAGCGCAGTCAACAACGCGGGTCCGCGTGTTTCAATACTTCAGGCGGGATCCCGTCCACACCGACACATTTGCCGTTTCGCAGCCGAGCAAGTGCTCTCTGCGTCTCATCCAGTGTCGGCGTATCCGCCAGATTCGCCGTCACATCGTGCTGCTTCAGGCCGTTCAATGTAGGCCAGTCGATCTCTGAACGGTTGTTCAAGAGACAGTCAAAGTGTTTTCGCCAGATCTGTATTATGTCTGCAGTCTGTGTGCATGTAGCGCCTGAACTACCATCGGTCAGTGTCCTCAGCGGCTCCAGTCTCGGTCCATACACCGCCTTCAAGGAGTCAAAGAATTCCTTGAAACATTCCATCTGCTTCGCCTTCTCCGTCCACCATGCATTTTTTATGCGACGGAGCTCTCGGGTCACTCGCCGCCGAAGTTTGCGAAACGGACTCTTCTTCCCCAAGTCTCTGGGATCCGCAACATGTGCAGCAAATGCTGCATTCTTCTCCGACACCAACGCGCCAATCGTCGCATTGTTGTCATCAAACCAATCAGGCCGCTTAGTTTGCGCGCCCGATGGTCTCTTCGGCAGCAGCCGTCACCTGGTTGCGAATGTGGTGCCACAGGTCGCCCACTCTGGCTATGCAGTCCACATCACACAGGCGTGCATCCATCGCCTTCTCCAGCTCAGTACGTCTCGCCACAATACCGAGGGAGAGAATGTTAAATTTACGCCGATTCACGGCGGGAGTGCAATACATTGACTTACGAAAATATATGTACAGTTTGGTCCGCACCAATGTATGATCAGTGCCACACTCAGCTGCACGCAGTACACGTGTCATGCGCACTTCAAGCAAATCACGCTGACGTACAATGACATAGTAGAGCAGGTGAGCGCGACCACTCCGTGGGTGCGTCCAAGTTACTATATCACTAGCACTCAGTGCAATTCGAATGTTCGTGATCGTCAGGCTGTGAGTGGCACCCAGTGAGAGCAGCCTGTCACCGTTCGCATTCGCTGAACCAATGCCATGCTGACCAATAACATCTGTCCACACCGATGCATCATGGCCAACGCGCGCGCTGAAATCACCCAGCAGAAATAGTCGGTCGCTCCTCGGCACAGACCGTATGACGGAGGATAGCTCAGTGTAGAATTGATTACGCGTGTCCTCAGGATAACACATGGTCGGACCGTACGTGCTTATAAAAGTAGCAAACTTACCTCTTCCGAGTCGTAGGCGAACGGTCATCAGTAGCGCGTTGATGCTTGTTGTTTCCCCCACCAGCTGGCCATGGAGGAGATCGGACATTGCAAATGCGACCCCATGTTCACGTGGAGCTGAGGCGGCGTTTCCCACCCAGTAGAATGTGTAGCCAGCACCTGCTTCATGTAACTTACCTTGCTCAGCGAGCCGGGTTTCACTGAGCGCCGCAGTATCGATGTGGTAACGCACCAGCTCCATCGCGACAAGTGCAGTGCGTCGCTCCGGGCACTCGCTGGAGTTCCGGTCGAGTAGTGTCCGCACGTTCCAGCATCCGATGCTGAGTGCTTTGCGCGCAGGCATACGATTGCATTGGTGAGCAATCGCACGCGAGGTGGTCGTTGTGCTTCGGAAGTTTGCTTGAGGGACTCCGCCTGGAGCCTT